AATAGTACCTGACTTTCTCTGTTCTGCTTGTGCTTTTGGGTTGTATGGTTTATCATCTGATATGGAAGGTGGTAAACTGCATCTTTCCCCAGAATTGCTTTCTTCAACCATATAATGATTCATAGAATGATTCGTAGAATGGTAGAGTTGGAAGAGTCCCATGAGGGTCATCTAGTCCAACCCTCCAATGCAGGAATCTTTTGTCCAACATGGGGCCCAAACACATGACCCTCAGATTAAGAGCCTCAAGCTCTCTCAACTGAGCTATCCCAGCATGAGACTCTTAATCTCAGGGTTGTGGGTTTGAACCCCATGTTGGACAAAAGATTCCTGCATTGCAAGGAGTTGGAGTGGATGACCCTCGGCATCCATTCCAACTCTACAATCATATGATTCTATGCTCTACCAACTGAGCTATCCCAGCAGCCAGTTGGGATGTGCATTCAGAACAAACTCACAGTGTGAAACTAGTGCTGGAATTGGCACAAACCGTATTATACATGAATATTTCAACATGTAGCATCTTTCTGGCTCTGTTTCTCTATGTAGGAAAAAAGCAAAGGGGTGTGTGCATGTTTGTGCGCACACAATGCAATCTTAACCTCTCAAGTAAAAAATGACAAGAGACTAGCGCAACATACTTAGAAATACTTAGATCCAGCGCCCAGTACAGATTTTGGTGTTTTTCAGTCAATATCCCTTTCATATGCTACTTCCTACTCCCAGCCATTGCCCACTCACTCTTTGTTTCTAGAGCCAATTCCCACCTCTTCCTAGGGGGAAAGGCCAAGTGCTGCTGCTCCTTCTCCTTGCTTACTCACTCAATCACAGATGCTTTCACTTTAGACAAGGAGAAGGCAGTAATGGCGAGAGATGAAGCAGCAGGGCCAGAGAGCTCTGCTAGTCAGCTGTGGGCTCCCTGCTAATTCATGTGCTTCAGCAGATGTCTGATGACACTAGCTCTCCTTGAATGCTCTATCCACCTTACAAAATGCTTAGGGTTGTTTTTTTCCCTTATTTAGTCATGATTCTAATTTTTTTTTATACTATTGTTTATTTTTGTTGTTGATAATGGCAAATTTAATAAATTGCACTGTTGCTTGGAAGTTTTATTGAACTTAGAATCACAGAATTGTAAAGTTGGAAGTAAACCTGAGGATCATCTAGTCCTTTAAGGCAGGAATATGCAGCTTTCCCATATGGGGATAGAACCTGTAACCTTGGCATTCTTAGCACCACGCTCTAACCAAATGAGCTATCCATTGGTGGAATTGAGGACTTTCGGAATGGTTAACATATTCACATTGCCTTTCAATACTTTACAGATTTATATTATTATTCATTAAATTTATGTACCGCCCTTTGGGGCACAGGACCACAAGGCAGTTTCCAACACAGAGCATAGACAGTATATGTTGATGCCCAATACAATATCTATACAGTGCAAAAATTAAAACAGTTATATAAATACAATTCTAATAAGAAATGTATAATAAGTACAGATTCTTATAACTTAAGGGATGAGTTCTCCTTTTATAAAGTGTAAAGCAGCTCAAGAATAGGAGCAGTTACTGAACAAGGTTGAATTAATTGAACTACAGTTAGGCAAGGCTAATCCAGCAGAGATGGTGCAGTACTGACTCATATAGGAATAATGATCCTGGTTTCAACTGTTAAGAAGAGACATTACTTCAAAAAATTGCTAAGGCATTCTTACATTTATAGCTTCATGCAAACAGCACTAAAATCTTCAAAGGCAAATAAAACTACATTATGTTACCAGCATGGCAGCAGCACCCTAATTATAAAATGACCCCTTTTTTTCTAACATGTTAAGATACAAAGTAGGCACAGTAATCTTTGTGTCTCATTCTTTGGAACCAACAATTCTTAATTCTAACACATTTGAATGGTAAATGCTTTTTTTTAAAAAAAGTAGTGTATGTCTCTCTAAATGCAGATGAACTGATTAGTTTGCCATGATGATTTTTTTTAAATGCAAAAACCTTAGCATCATCAGCTTCTTATCTCGACTATCAATTGTCCTGCCAGAACTGATGGCTGCAACAATGGAGGTTTCTCTGGAGCAGAAACTTTTCACAGACACCATCCCTTATCAAGGTTTTAACTGGCAAAGGCTGCCATTCATGCTGTCACTCACAGTGGATATATAATGGATGGTGTCTGGCTTGCACACCACAGATAACTTGCCAAACTGGGATTGGATTTAATTCCATGGGGTGATGGGAAAGAACCGATGCTAGGATGTGATTTTTCTCTTTTTCAGTCATTTGTCACTGAAATTATAGCATTGCTTTGGATTGGTTGAGATTGTGTGACCAGCTAACCACTATTTTAATGAAGATTTTATATGTACATATTATATTGCTTAGGGAATTCAGCACAAGAGATGGGTATCTAGTTGAAGGATTTGTGTTGAAGACGGAAACTGTGTATTCATTTTTATATATTTAAAAGTAGCTCTCGGTAAATGGTACTCTTCGTGGTCTGAGTGTGATAAAGGAGGGTGTGTGTTTATGAGCTGAGAGAAAGGTTGGTCCGAGAGAATATGTATATAAAAGTAGGGAGATAAATAATAATTTGGGGTTTAATTTATCTGTGGAGATAAATTAAACAAATGGTAAAAGAAATGTAAAACAAACACAATGCTTAGTTCCCCTTGGTGCAAATGAGACAAACTAATACTATTCATTGTATAAGGCAAGGTTCCTCATAACCTTTCCCCATTTTCTTGTGGACAGTGTGTCCTGGTCTTACAATGCAGTCAATATTTGGGAATGTACTGTGTATGTGAACATATTACTCATCTGCATGTTGAAGACTGTTGGGTCATTTACATTTGCTCTAGCTATAACATCCAACAGTTTCCTGGAAAAACAACAACTATGCATTGAAGTGCTTTTGGCATTTTTAGTATTAATATTATCTTTGCATTGTCCTCAGATTAAAGACTTAATATACCCAAAATTCTGTAGCTTTAATTAAGTTTTAATTAATCTGTATCTTTGCTTTACATTGTTTTAATGTAAAATTGTGTGAATTATCCTTCTAGCTATCTGCACAGCACATGGAGTTGGCTTGAGAATATTGTGATTAGACTTGCTGAAGCAGTTAGTCAGTGATTGATGCTGTATTGATGGGCAGCACAGAAGCATCCCCTCTGTTAGAGAACATTAGAGAAATTATTTCTTAACCATTTCATGTTCAACCTCAACTGCATTTAACCTGTGCATTTGGACTGGTTAGCGTTGCTAATAGCTGTTGTTCAGTATGAGCAGAAGCAAATAATAGAAGGACTTGCTTAAGGAAAGGGGAAAGAAACATGGTATTTAAAGAATGTACTAATACATCATGGAACTCCATTCTATTTCTAGTGCTTCTTAACATATTATTGACAAATTATATTTTCACTGCTCTCTGTATTAATTCTTTCACCCCACTTTTCATCAGAGCGCACATATGTGCACATATGTACACACGCACACTCACAGAATACCTTAAATATGATAAATTGACCATGCTCTTAACAACAAAAATAATTTGATACTAACATAACATATTTGAAATAAAAACAAAAGAAGGATATGAGAGTATTCTTTCATTTGGTTTTTGATTTTTCAGAACTGGAATGTTGAGCATTTCAGCCATGGAGGGGCTTTTCTGAATGTGGGCTGTGGAAGAGTGAGTGAGAGACAGACTAAGAGAGATTCACTTGGGCACAGAGAAGGAAGAAGATAGATATGCGCTCTCTCTCTCTCTCTGTGTGTGTGTGTGTGTGTGAGAGAGAGAGAGAGAGAGATGGAGGGAAGGGGAATATACGTATGTGTGATCTGTGAAAGATGCAGAGGAAATACATGCCAGAAAACCAAAGACTTATTGAAAAAGAAATGGGATCAATAGAATGTATAGAAGCTAACGTAAAACGTATACTGTCCAAAAAACATTTTAATGATATATAGTACTATACAAATTGAAAACAAAACAAAACAAAAATGTCTGTATTCAATTCAAGGCAAACCCCACTCACCCAAACAAGGAATGTTATAAATAAACCTAATATCAACAAATTCAAGAAAAGTGACTCGTGTAATATCACAAAGGACACATTGCACCATTAATGTATGAAAGAGAGGGAGACGTGCACTTGGACTCAGAGAGAGGGTAGATGTATATGTATCTGTTGTCTGTATGTGTGATGTATGTGCATGTGTGAGAGTAAGTGGAGTGTGCCCCCCTTGAATTTTTTCCTGATCCTGGGGAATGCTCCCTGTTATTCTTAGACAGCAAGAACATCAATGTGTGTTAGAGAGAGAGAGCAATCAATTATGTGTGATCTACACAATGACAATCAGCAGGACAAAGGTGACTTCCCACCACAAGCATGAGATTGTTTGCAGGAGGAGTATGAGGAGTAGAAATTTCTGTACTCTCTCTAATTTTGTCTTATACCAAGAGCTCCATTGCAGCAATTTTGTGACTAATGCCCACAGCACTTTCTCAAAATGTGAAATGTGCTGATGGTCTGAAAAAGGTTGGCAACCCCAGAATAGGCTTTAAATTACCACAGTTTACAGTGGTACCTCGGGTTAAGTACTTAATTTGTTCCGGAGGTCCGTTCTTAACCTGAAACTGTTCTTAACCTGAAGCACCACTTTAGCTAATGGGGCCTCCTGCTGCCGCTGCGCTGCCGGAGCACGATTTTTGTTCTTATCCTGAAGCAAAGTTCTTAACCTAAAGCACTATTTCTGGGTTAGTGGAGTCTGTAACCTGAAGCGTATGTAACCTGAAGCGTATGTAACCTGAGGTACCACTGTATGTTTCTCCTTTAAAGAACATGAGCTGAGAAGTTTCCGCCAATTATCAAGATAGTGTTTGCACTACCAGATCTCATTCAAATGAACTGAGGAGCTCTTGAAGATTAGGAAACTCTGTTTAAATGAATCAAGCAGCTGTTTTGGAAGGAATTGACCTGATGTAGACACTGGTGTTCCTGTGCCCATTAAGCAATCCATGAATCAGGCATGTGAGTGGATTCCATGTATTAGTCTGGACAATAGCAAGATTCCTATTCATTTGATTTGAACAAACTGGACTATTTAAAAGGACAGTAAATGCTAAAGACTGTGAAAGGGTTTAGAGTTTAAAGAAGGAAAATCAACCTGTTACATATTTTCAGAACAGTTAAGATATGGAAGTGATATTATAAAAGGATTTAATCTTGAGGAAACTTAATGTATACTCTAACTTTGAAGCTTCATATTCCTCTGCAATTGCTTTTCTCCTTTCCCCATCCATATTCTGCTGTAAGGCACATAACAGGTCAAAGGAATTTAGATGCCTTCAGTGCCAGATAGCTTGAAAAATGTTAATTGCATCATGAAAATGGAGTGTTGTATCTAATTACCTGTGTGTGTGTAATGTCTCTCTATCTCTTGAAAATAAAAGAACTATATTTCATTGTACTTTTCAAACTTTTTAAAAACTGACAATATTCTCTCAAGAATATTAGGTGAGACCTTGTTAATATTTTGAATATGGAACTGGATCTAGTAATATACAAATGCAGAAGATGACAAATAATAATAATCAAAAGTATTTGGTGTCCTTATTCTGTACCTCTTTTCTTGGGAGAAAGGACTGTGGCTTCAGTAGATGTGATTTCCAAGTAAGTGTGGTTTGCTCTGTGGTCTACTTTAAAGCATTTTTAGTGTTTGATATTATCTGTACATGATGTGCCTCATAGGCAGCATAATATGGTAGTGAGCATACCATGAGATGTGCCCAGGCCTGGTAAAAAGACACATAACCTTGTCTTCTGGACCACCTCTTTATTCCTCATGGGAAACCAGCCAGTCTGATCTGCTCTGGCATTAGTCCCCTTCAGACTTGATCTTGGATCTTGATCAGCATGGGCTTCAGGCACATCTCAATTGTAACATGCTGAAACTTCAATTCATGCTCTAAATTTGGAATCATCCAGAACATGCTGCAATAGAAAATGAGCAAGAAAAAATGTTTCATAGCTTGCAATCAGTTGCACAACATATTGCCATTTATGTATCTTTTAACATTCCTCTTGCATCAAGTTTCTCTTTCTCCTTTTTAATAATTTATTGAAACTTCACAGATGTTTGAGCCAACAACTATATAGTTGTTGATCTTGTATGTGCACTACAAAACACATAGAGTGATATCCAATAGCATCAGTGCACTTGCGTGATGGGTTTCCTCTCTTCCCGCTGCTGTTCTCCCTGCACCCTTAAAAACTGCTCTGGAGGGTTAAGGATATCCTTGGCAGCAGATGGGGAGGGGGCAGGGGGCAGCAGAGTGGAGAAGAGGAAGAGGGTCTCCCAAAGCACCCATGGGCATGACATTGAATACTGCCCATATGAGCCATGTTTTTATCACAACTGAAACCATGTCTCAGTACAGAGTGCGTCCTTACTTACAGGAAATATTTTATTGAACTTCAGATGTTTGATTTGTAATTGCTGGTCTTGCCTCTTGCATATTTCTTCAGCCAGCTCTGCTAGAGAAGCAATTACAGTCATACTTTGGAAGTTGAACAGAATCCATTCCGGAAGTCCTTTCGACTTCCAAAACGTTTGGAAAACCAAAGTGCAGCTTCCGATTGGCTGCAGGAAGCTCCTGCAGCCCATCAGCAGCCCCGTCAGACATTCAGCTTCCAAAAATAGTTCACAAGCTGGAACAGTCACTTCCAGGTTTGTGGCATTTGAGAGCCAAAACGTTCAAGAACTAAGCTGTTCGAAAACCAGGGTATGACTGTACTAGAAAAAGGTAGCATAAGCAATGGCGGAGCTAGCTGCTCCGGCACCTGGAGCGGCGTGCATCCGGGGGCAGGACTAGTTGCCTGCGGGGGAGGGGCGAGCGTCCTAGGGGTTCTCTGCCTGCACCGAGTGTCCCAGGGGTGCATGTCCCGGGGGTGTGCCGCCCCTGCCAATTGTGCTGGGGGGTGGGGCAGCAATGTCACCCCCCCTCAGGAATGATACCCAGGGAGGTCTGCACCCACCGCATCCACTTTGCTCCACCTCTGAGCATAAGCAGAAGTAACCACTGTTACAAAAGTTCAGCAAAAATTGTGAGACTGACTCAAGCAAGGCTAATTTAAGGAACAATACAGTGGTACCTTGGGTTAAGTACTTAATTCGTTCCAGAGGTCCGTTCTTAACCTGAAACTGTTCTCAACCTGAAGCACCACTTTAGCTAATGGGACCTCCTGCTGCCGCCGTGCCGACAGAGCACTGTTTCTGTTCTCATCCTGAAGCAAAGTTCTTAACCTGAAGCACTATTTCTGGGTTAGCGGAGTCTGTAACCTGAAGCGTATGTAACCCAAAGCGTATATAACCTGAGGTACCACTGTATTTAAATATGTTTAATCCTCTGTGAAATAAATAATATAACTACCAAGGTTCAACAAGGGAAGTGCTTTTTGTTGTAGAGTGGGAATGCATGGTACTGAAAGAGTCTGACGACGGAGCCACTTACATTTAAATCTGGTGGTCCTCATTGCCATGTTTTTGGAAGATTAGCTTGAAGAAGTACATTGCGCTACAACAAAGAGAACTTATTGCGTGGCAGCATACACAATTGTAATGACTGAAAAGGCAATATATACTCACAACATGCACACATTAAAGATTTAGAACACATTAGCAAAATAGCGTGATGCCTTTCCTACACAAAGACAGCACCACTTCAAATATTGGCACAAATTTTGTACATGCTAGCTATCTTTATCATCAAGTTTTTATTTTCAAATAGATGATACTCAGAATCAGAGGAAGAAACAATGGCATATATTTTTATACAGACTATTTTAATGTGTATGCTTGATTTAGATCTATATTCAACTGTTTGATTCTGACTGTCAAGTTTTCTAATCCTTCAAACCATGGTTTAGAAGATTAAAAATTAGTTCTGTGTTTAGACTACTGTACACAGAAAACAATGGTTTGACCAATCAGGAAGTATGCCGAAGGAAAGAGAAAGAGCAAATGCATAAGTCTCAGTCCCAGTCCTCCAAATCATAGTTTAACCTTTAGAGATTTGTGGACAATAACATCTGAATGCAGCCACTATCATACTTCCAGCCCCTGTTTCTAAGAAATTTGATTTTGCTTATTACTTTCACTGGGATTATTGAAGAATGAATGGCTTTTTTTCTTTCCAGGATGTCTGTTTTTTCTTTGCTTTAATGAACACATTTTCTCATTGTTTCTCCACGAGGGATGTGTGTGGCCTGCATGAAATTTAGCTTCTGATTGTGCATTCAGTAGATAATAGGCACAAAAAATGATCTAATGGTTTGTCTCATTGCATGGTACCATATTAAACATTCACATTGCATATTTTGATCTGTTGACTTGGAATGCGACAAAATCATAGAATCAAAGAGTTGGAAGGGATCTCCATGTGTGTGTGTGTGTGTGTGTGTGTGTGTGTGAGATCTGTCCCAACCCCCTTCAATGCAGGAATCTCAACACATACTGCCCCATCCAGTTTGAAACCATACCTGACCCTGCGTAGCTTTGCAAATGTGCTAGAAGTTGCACCACTAATAGACAAATTTAATATTGAATGTTTAAGTAAAAGAATTCAGTGCTCATCAGTGAGAAGCTACACTTAAGCAACCTTATCTTTTCATGTAGCATGGTCTGAGGTCAAGGTCAAACTATACTTCTCTATTTTATGGCTATTAGTTTAACCACAGCCTCACGATAGCCTCTGCTTGTTAAAAAGCTTTGGAGAGGAAAGCATGTGTACGTAATCTGAGTTGTGGTCTCTTTCATACAGTATTTGCAAGCTTTCGTATACTGTCCCCCGTATTTTCCCTTGTGAGCCGCAGGAGGGTAATGTATTGCCTTGCTACAATTGCTCCATTCCAAACAAATGTATTTCTGTTTTGTTTGGTCAGGAAGTGTATCAAGAAACAACATTTATCAATCTGTCCCCGTTGACACTTTTGGTTAGGCTTTACATGTATCTGGGCAGATCGTCTGTCTGGATTTGTAGCAGTCCTAAAAGGCATTGTAATATTAAGATTGCAGGCTCTCGATCAAGGCCAGAGTTAGTTTGCAGGTGATTGCTGGACTGAAGAAGAAGTGTGGAATTGCTTTCCACTGGAGACACAGGAGCAGGAAGATGAAAAGGGGGACAAGCAGGGCCTGTTTCTGAGGAAAATTTCAAGCAGACACTTTCTATGACTGAGCCTTACTTCAGGCTCTGCTTCCTATTGTATTTTATATGCTGAAGTTTAGGGAAAATGGCTTTCATTTTTCATAATTTCTAAGCTTTCTGTGTTTCTGACATTAGTATTCCCTCCTTTTAATCTCTGTTTTTAAATAGTCAAGATGTTAGGTCTCACCACTATGTTGTCATTGAAGAAATGTGCTCTCCGCCTCATCCATACTGCTTCCTGTAATTCTCTGTGCTGTTAACAGAAGCATGCTTATCTTGAATTCATATATTTGAACTCCACTGTATCAGCAGCCTGTCAGGTGACCCATGGAGCTGATGACACCTCACCTTAAACAGTTCACTCTGAGCAACGCATCTCTACGGTACGCACCAGGCTAGGGTAGGCTACTATCATATTTACCTACTTGCCTCCCTGCTTCCTTGCCCCATATCCATTTCTACTATCCTGAAGCTGCTTCTGGAAATTCTTTTCATTCTGCCTCTGGGTGGTATCATTGCCTTTTGCTTCTCATGGCCCTGATGCTGTTGCAGCATTGGACTGACTAGTCACCATCTCTAGCAAAAAAAATTGCAAAGGCTAGTGGCAGCCACAACAGAAAAGCTTACCATTAAAAATAAACAAATAAAGGCTTTAAATGTTTTGTTTTTTTTAGTTTACAAAGCTTATAAGCATGTTGAAATGTGAAGTTATTTCCTGTCTTGCTTTCAGTTTTTATTATATTTTTTATTTATGCAAAATCATTGAGATGCCTATAAAATATATTTGTAGGTTTTCCCTTTTGATAAATATGACAGTAAGTGAACATCATTAAACGACCCTCTCCTTACATTAAAGGGTGGAAAGAGGAGATTGGAGTTGAACTTGTTTGCTGTGAATCATGGGTATGTTTGTAGTAGAAATATGACTTCTTGGAGCAAAATGAATGTGCAAACGTATTTTTATTATTGTGACTAAATGCAAGTAAATTCCTGCACACTGTCATAGTCATAGGGGCCTATGGATCATAAACTTCAGTCTATTTGTATGCCACTTGGACGATTCAGTGGCATTATCAGAGAGAAGGAACAAGGAAGGCACTTAAATTTAGAAATTGTTCTTGTTACTGAATGTCAGATAAAGGTGAAGTTTTTAAAAGAGGAATCTTCCTGATTTACTGTCTTTAATGAGCACATGGAAGGATGTGCTGAGCACATCATTAGTGTGACAGGGTGAAAGGGGCAACATGTTTCTTCTGTTGCAATGGAAAGAGGATGAATCTGGCACAGCTCTGATGTCAGAACCTCCATCACCTTTCTCACAGATGATGTAGATTTTAATTGTACTCCGGGCTGATTCGCATCGCACCAGCTCCTATGTGACATTGAGATAGATGAAGCCATTTGTTGGCATTATCTGAGCCAGCTGTGTGCTTGGCGGCAGCTACAGTAGGCATTACATCTCATGCATAATCCCCTCATTGAAAGAGTAGCACAAGCATCTGAACCATATGGCAAATAATTTTATTATGATCAGAAAAAGGACTCTTGGAACTAGTTAAGCAAGAGAGTCCTTGAAATGCAATCAGAAGAGTGCTTTCCTCAATTTTCTTATAGCATTATCATATTAACTTTAATTTTTAGTTCTGTTTTAGTCTTTGGGGGAAATGGAATTCCTTTTTGTTTCACAAAGGATTTGCCCTCCCCCAGTTAGAAGATAGTGTGTTGTTTTACTTTAAAAACCTAACAAAGCCCCACAGCACTTTCGTTAATTTCTATTTTAAAAAATGGGTGTGTGAAGTTAGTGGCTTAGTAACTATGCACAAAATGGGAATGGGAAGAGAAGAATAAAGCTCACATCAAGTAGTAAGAATGGATGGGCAAAGAGAATAAACTGCAGTTGACAGACATTAGGAGAGGAATATTCCTTGCTTTGCATGTAACTGGGGAAATTTCTCTTGAAATGTGTGATCTAGTATAATGTGAAGACAGGAAAGAAATGTGTGTTCAGTGTCATCGAGGGAGATTTAAGAAGAACCATAGACATTAGTAGCAAAGGCCTGAAGTCTCTTGCTTTTCAAACAGCAGACAACGGGATTAAGGCAGTGATTAAAGGCCTAGATCTAAATAAGACTGGAATATTGTATCTTTCCCAGTGCTGGGTCCAGATTTTGGGTGACCTTTGGGCTGTATGACCTCATTAAGGCAACCTCCTCCTCCTTTCCATTGTTTACTTGCCTTTTCACTCTACCTTCAGGCTCAGTTCCCACTGCTGATGCAAAAGAAAGGGGAGATGAGTAAGCAGGAAGCTGCTGTGGGTCCCCCCCATTCCTGTTGCTTGCTGACGCACAGTGGGCAGGTGGTACCCCATAGTGCCAGCCCCTGATGTCAGCTCTAAGCTTGCCCAAGTCCACTTTTGTTAGAACTCAGGGGAAGTTGGTAGTGCCTGGTCAAACAGAGTGCAGCCAGCTCTAGGGAGGCTTGCTAAGACAGCTATAGGATATATTGTCTCTGCTCAAAGCTAGAGCCAAATGGAGCCTTAATATAGGCAGACTAGACTTGGATTGTGGTTGGTTCCCCCACTCTGGAAGAGCTGACTGGGTGGTTAAGTGGAACTTTTAATTACTGAATTCTGTAATGCTGGGGAAACAGTTACTGTGGGGGAATCATCCTTTGAGGATGGTGGCAAGGCAGTGTCCCAGCCAGAAGGGCTGGAATAAAATACTGGTGGTTCTTCCAGCCACCTGGGAAATGGTCTAAACCGGGTCCTTATAAGAGTCCTCTGGCATGCTTTCAAAAGCCCCAGGTCATCAAAGTCCAAGGCCATCCATAGGTTCAGGGTCAGATCTACACGCATAGTTTTTAATGTTAAGGAAGGGTTTTGATAATGTATATGGATACATGACATCCTACTTTTAATGTTCATCATGCATTATTAAAATGTGACACCAGAGGACACTGCAAAGCAACCAGCAGCAGGGAGACAGTGTTTCAATAAAAAAGGGGGAGGACAAGGTAAAAAATGCTTTTATTTACAAGTATGCCCTGTGATGTTTTAGAACGACATATCTAATATCGTTCTAATAACGTTAAACAGGTCAGTGTAGATCCAGCCCAGGACTCACTGGAGAAGCCAGCCAATAAAGGTCTAAGGACTTATTTATGAATGCATGTACACCGTTCAGTATCCTATGAAATGCTGACTTTCAGTTGAAGGCATGAACTACTCCCATTTGAAAAGACTTGTGTCTGAGGTAATGCAGTATAGATACTCAGTCTATGGGGGCTGTTTGACACATGCAAACCATATTAACTGGGAAGTGCTTTGCTGTTTGTTCAAACTGGTATCACAGCAGCTTGACACAAACTTGTACATTATATTGTTTATAAATTTGGTTTCATCTGGTAAAGAGCTATTATGGTTCATTTTAAATACTTTGTCTTATGGGTACAAAGGCTATGCGAGGGTATGAGACGCTTTACTAATATACATGCCTTACCAGCAACCTGGAGACCAGAAAGTTATGGAACATAAATAAAGCCACACCACCAAAGGGCAGCTGCCTTTCTGAAGGTTAGTGTTTTATGTGGAACTTTATTGACAAATAGTAAATGTTGTAATTGGACTGCAAGAAGAATATGACCCCCTAATTTTATAGGACCTTTAATGTTTTAGTAGTGCACGCCTGAAGCAGGATTTTTTCCCTGTTGATACTGTCCCCTCGTGAGAAAGGAAAGAGTTTCTGGCTGAGCTCTCAAAATGCCTTTTAAAAAGTGTGTTCTGCTCCAGCTTTGTTTATAGAGCTATTCTGCAGACTCTTCTGAGCAACCGAGAGTCCTTTTGATTATTTTGAAAGTGCAATATGTGGTTTTATTTTAGTTTTAAAAAGCAGCATGGGTTAAGCTCTAAAAGAAAAGCACCACAGTTTGCAGCATGTTAAGAAGCAAAGATGGTCCAACAACAACAACAACAACAACAACAACAACAACAACAACAGATAGAGCCTTTTCAGCAGCAGCTACTGAACTGAGACTTTTTGGATCATGGCTGTATGTAAATCTGACCAGTCATTTGCCCTTCACACATCTTTGGCAACTTCAGAATGAAAAAAATTCTGATGGTCCATTAGTTAGATTTCCTATTACTGTAGCAGATGCTTCTAAAACTATTCACTTGCACATTTCTGCTGGTAGCAGTGTGTACAGGAGGGGAAAGACATGGTTCTATGATTAAGGAAAGCTTGGGCAGCAGAATTTGCAAGGCTGTGCTTTTGTACCTGGCCAAAAGCACAAGGTAATGCTTTGGGCCAATGCACAATGATTGCTGATTCTGTGACCCTGGCATATTTGTTTCTATCACAACCAATTCTCTGTGAGATTAACCATTACTGCATAGGCTTGCACTGTTAAGAAGAAAAATTAAAAACACTGCCGGAATACATTGGTAGAATGGCACATCCACAGGCTGTAGATTTTGCACTATACTTCATAGGGATTTCATTGGCAATGAAGGATACATATAAATAATGGATGAAGAAGGGTGACAGGGCTTGAGCACTGGGGGTTGACAGATTATCTTGTGATGTATTACAATTAGATATGCTTCAGTGTCACGTCATTTATTCAGCTAGTAAGGGTGCATAACTCTTAGATCCATTTGCAGGTAAATTTATTGAGAGCCATAGTACTGCTCCCTCAAAATTTGGGATTGATTTTTGAAAACCCTTAACAGCTTTCTAAATCACTACAATATCTGTACACATATATTCCCCCCACCTTAAGAACTGGGAATTTGATTCATGCAGGCTGTAGACAAATTTAAAATTTGTTGGTTACGGGATCTGCATTTATGCTCAGTTTATTTGTAGATGACCAGATCTCCTGCCAACTGAGGTGACAAACTATCCGAATGGGCTTCTAGAAAAACCAATTTAAAATGCAGAGACTAGATCTCAGTTGTACAATCACTTGTAAAAAAAGAAGAGAAAAGAAGGACTAAGGCTCAGTTCACATATCAGTAAGTGACATTGTGTAGTAGTAGGCAGCTCCCCAGGCAGCCCCAGCAAATTTCACCAAGTCATAACAACTCCTCTGCTGTTACTCTTAGTTACTGTGTGGTTAGTCATGCAGATACTTGCAGTGCAGAACAGCCTTAACACAATGTTTGCAAATAGCTAATGTGCCACTTGCTGTATGTGTATATGCACCTAAGGCTGCAATCCCAAGCCAACTCAACTAGTAAAGTAGTCCAATTGAATACCATGGGCCATCTGGTTAAATGTGTGCCAGTCAAGAGGAATCTGTTCCTCGCTTGTGCTTTCTCTTAGTATAAACACTCATCTGGGCCATGGATTCGTTAGATACTTTGGCTAAAGCAAAGTAGATAAAGGTCATAGTTAGCACAGTGTGTCCAAACTGTTATCCAAGACAGTGGAGAAAGGATTTCTTAAAACAAGCGGGATTCCCTTAGTGTGTAAAGAAAGCCAATGTGATTATGCTGATAAATTAACTCTGAACAACTTTTCAGATTCTTCTGCTCTGACAACTGTTTATTGAAATATAGCTTCGGTCCTACATATGGTCAGTGCAGTGAGATGGTGTTTTTTGTTTTTACATTCGTGACAAATGCATTTAAATATTGTGTATCTACTAGACCTGTAGCACAAATAAAGCGGTATTGACTGCTAAACCTGGTATTGTAGCATTAAAAAGAACAAGCAGGATGCCTGTTGATAAGTGAACTAGCTACGCATCTGAAATTCCAGTTACAGTCCAGTAATGAAACAGAGTGATACAACTTTAACTTGACCTCTTGGCCCAAAGAGGCTAGAGATGGTGGCTTGGTAAAGAAAACAAAATGCTGATGGTTTGTCAATGGTGCCTCGGTCTAGCTACATGTTTAACTCATGGCATGAGTGGTAGGTGCAAGTACTGTGTTGTAAGTACAGTCTGTGCAAGTACTGTATTGCCATAGATATAAGCACTGTCCTGGGCAGATGGTATGGGAGAATGTGGATTGCCTTTCAAGAATGAGAAGGGTATATAGCATGTGCCCTCTAAAGGCCCCAAGTTCAGTTCCTGGTATGGATGGGAAGACTTCTGTCTGAAACCCTGGTGAGCGGTACTGGTACTGGTGTATTTTCAGCTTAAGGCAGCTTCTTAAACTCACATATTCCATACCCTTGAGCCTCTCTCTCCATTTTGAGTTCTCCTCTCCCTCCCCCCAGCCTTAACCCCTGTGAGTATAACAATAACTTCAGAGTAAGCCATGGTTAACCTTACTAGGTTTCCCTCTTCTTAATCAGCTAGTTTCAGTTCCTCATTAAGAGAAATCCTCATTATCATTAATTCTCTGCAAATGCTGATTGTGTAAACACATAACCAAGGTTAAGGACACAGGGAATCATTCCAGGGATGTTTAGTGTAATATCTGCATGGTTACATTCAGCTTTCAAATAACATCAAGCATTTTCCACTTTGGGGAGTATAAAAATAGGCCAAGCACCGTTCAGGCTGATCACCAGATTAATTACATGAATATTGATTTTTGCATTTGAATATTCGAGGAAACTATTTTTATCTTACCTCAACAGTTGTTGAGAATGGGAACAGTGCTAGGTGAGCATGGCAGCAGGCGGCTGCAGAAACCAGCAGGAACTGTTACCCTCTTAAGAATGAAAGCCCTTCTCTCTGACACGTCTCCCTCTTCCAATTCCAAACATGTGCCAGTTAACAAA